TTCTCTTTCCCTGGTTTGGGCAGAGAACAACCCCCCAGGGTTAGCAAGTCATCAAGCTCCTGTAATAGTCCAACTGCAAGCCACCGCCACTCCTGCTCGGGTAATGCAATACCCCCTAAAGAATGACCCAGAGGGTGGATTCTCAGGACAATTAACCTGGACTAGACTGCCTCAAGGTTTCAAAAACTCTCCCACCCTTTTTGATGAAACCTTGAGCTCAGACCTACTTGCCTTTAGACAGGAGCATCCAGAATGTGCCCTACTCCAGTATGTAGATGATCTTCTGCTGGCAGCAGATACCAAGGAAAATTGCCAACAAGCCACTGAGGGCCTGTTAGCCACCTTACAAGCATTAGGCTACCAGGTGTCAGCCAAGAAGGCACAGTTGTGCTCCTCTGATGTCACATACCTGGAGGAGGGGCTGATATCCCCTTCCAGTGCACTCCCTTGGGAGAGGCCTGATCACTGCTCTGCCACAGGGGACGGGTACGATGGCAGGGGCCTGGTACCCAACCCGCTGCCACAGGAGCGCTTTGTAATATGCAGGGTGTCTTTCCCCTGGCCAGCTAAGGGCTGCTGGCCCCCACCATATACAGAAATTACAAACCACCATATCCTTCGAGGGGGACAGAGCATACTTCACGGTGGATCCAAGGAACCCAAGCCCGGACCTGTCCTCCCCTCCCTGCATTCTTCTAACCTGTCCTCTCTCAGAGGAATAGCTCTTGCAGGAAAGGGCCAAGGAACCCGAGCCCCCTGCTTACTTGGGGAAATTATAACATCTCTTTCCCATGGTTTGGGCAGAGAACAACCCCCCAGGGTTAGCAAGTCATCAAGCTCCTGTTGCTCTTTCCCAGGAGAACAGAGAGAAAAGGATTGCCAGAGGAAAACGCCTTTCCCCCGCGGCGGGAGCACCTCCACTGGTCACCTGGGGACCTGCGCCGAGCTCCCTGCCTCCACCTATCCGGCTCCCATCTCCCGTGCCCACCCTCTGCTCACCAGGGTTGTAATTGCCTCTCATCCCCCGAGGGGTTATTGTGAATAGGCGGCTGCTGCTGCAGTGGCGGTGAGGAGGGAAATTTCTCCGTGCCTCCTTGTGCCCCAATAAGACCCAAGAACCCCCAAGGACAAGGCCTCCTTGGACACTTTTCACCGTGTTCTGTTGGGGGTGGGGGCTTGAAAGGCAGCAGCTAGAAAAGGAAACTCCAAAAATTAGAAGGATTTGAAGGAATGAATGGGTCACAGCTGGTAGAGGTAGCCCAGAAAGTCTTTAACAATAGGGACACCCCGGAGGAGAAACAGGACTAAAGGAAAGAAAAGGCTGGCAGCAAACTAGGAAGGTATTAGTATGCCTATTGTAGGAAGTAGGGGCACTGGAAGAGAGAATATCCTGGGAGGGTAACAAAGGAAGGCCGAGGGGAAAACCCAGGCTCTGAAGGATTTACACTCAGGGAAGGGGACGAATAGGGCCAGGACTCCTTTTCCTTGAACCCCTTAGAGCCCAGAATAATAATTTTTATAAATAGGACCCCCAGTTAGTTTCCTGGTGTA